TCATCTGGCTGCAAAAATCGGGTCGTGCGACCATAAAAGCTCTCGCAGTTTCTGTATTCACCCTAAGGTTGTGCCTCACGTGAAGTCAGTTAGTCTGTGAATGTACCTTCTGCCATTGTAGTCTATCGGCCCTTTCTTGATGGGTCGTGCTTACTGGCGTGTGCCGATTCATGCTGCACGTCTCTCAGTATCGCTTCCCCACATATAGCGCATGGCGGTCGATCTCTGGTTGTGTCCATAGTTGAAATGGCGGAGGAGGTAGGTAGAAGAGAGAGGAGTGGGAGAGGAGGAGAGGGGGAGAGGAAGAGAAGAAGAGGTGATGGAGGAAAAAACAGCGGGAGCGAGAAGAGAGCAGATGAGCGGGACGAGGAGCAAGGGTAAGGAGAAGAAAGAAGAAAAAAAAGAGGAAGAGAGAAAGAGAGCTGCACCACCCACCCACACACAATGACCAAATTCTAGCTGCCACAGATGCCACTGCTCGTACTAACTTGAGTGAGCCTTAGCGGGAGAGAAAGTGAGTCCTGGCCAATCACAGATGATGGTTTTCTCACGTAATCAGCAGAAAGCCACTTCACACACACCAGCCTCTCCTTCTGCGAACGGATCTCTGGCCTGAAAACCCATACCGGCAATCCCATTCAACATTCGGTTCACCCCCTCAATTCTCAGACGGATTGTTCTCCACCTTCCCCGCCAGCACTCTAGCTGAATAGAAAATCCCACAGGGCCCAGAGGGCACAAGACGACCGAAGCACCATCCTCAGCCAATAATTCAGAAATACGGTACCCAGAACAGGGCGCCCGCATAGAAGACTCGTCTGCACACCCCAGGCAAGGAATTATCTTTTTTGTATACTGTATACCTTTTTTTAAAAAAAGAAAAAATCTTTGACTCCCTCCCGCATTTTCTGGTATCTCTTCGGTCACCTGATTATGTGGTGGGGTGTATGTCTATCGCGGTGCCCATTTGTACGGCGCTGTGCCGTACGAGTAGAATTGAGGAAACCGTTCTTGGGAAAGAAGCTTCCAACGAAATGTGCCGCCGCTCGTGTAGATCCAGATCGGCCCGTTAGGCTCAACGCGAGATGCAGAGACGGCCAAAATCAAGCCCTTGTCAAAAACACAGTTGCAATTGCTTACGGGCTCCTCGGGAAAGTGACATGGGAGCAATGGGTCTGTTCCTTTGATCCGGAGCAGTATTCAGTTGATAATTGCAAAGAATTCCCTCCGAATGGCTCACCCAACTCCGGGTCGATCTGATTAGTCAGCGCACCCAAACCCGGAAAGCAAGACTGCACGGTGAGAAAAATCCCCACTTTTCGTTGCTCTTTCAGGCCGCCTAGTATCCCGGTTACGGAAGCGTGCATATGTATGATACCGTACCGTTCTCTATGTGTAATTTGTAATTTCTGGTTCGTCAGATTTACCTGAACAATCAATGAGGGGGATACAGGTACAGTACAGGTACAGTACTGTGCAGTGCTCAGTGTGCTGCATATCCACGGTACAGTACTCGTACTATCCGTACCCGTAAAGCTTTGGGTCACGAGCAGAATCGGCATCTTGTGGTTAATAATGGACGCTGCGGGCAAACAAACGCACCCGAACACCCGTCACGTACTTGAGGCCGAGATGGAAAATAATAAACCCCTCAGTTCGCCGTTCCCCGGCCTTTATTCGTGATTTGTGTGATTCTTCGGGCGTTGCAGAGCGGCTAATCACCGAACTCATGCCCAAGCACGCCTTTTCCATCTTGGTACCGGTATTTGTCAACCCCACCCTTCCACCTTTCGATTTCGTTATCCACCACAGCAACAGTACTTGAATACGTAATCTCCTCCTTCGGACTCCTATTTGAACATCTCTGGCCCTCCTCCGTCCTGCTTTACAGGACAAACACACTTGCCTACCATAGCTTCAATATTCCGCCGTTTCTTCTTCCTATCGCCCAGATCATCAGCCATGTCTGCCACCGCTGTTCAAAAAGTTCAAACCATTATCGACGAAAACGCCGTTGGTATGCAAACAGCTCTCATCCCTTCTTCCCTTTCTCATCCTTTCTGTTTGTCTTTCCCCCGATGTTTGCTAACGGGGGTTCTTGGTATAGCGGTCTTTTCCAAATCTTACTGTCCCTATTGCCGTGCCACCAAAGAAGCCCTCACCAAAGCTGGTGCAAAGTTTTGCGAGATCCAGTTGGACCAAGTCGGTTAGTACCGCCCAGCACCTGGTACTGCTGTCCCCAATGGCTATTGACAGCGTGGTTGTGGGGCAGATGATGGAGCCGATCTCCAGGCCGCTCTCCAGAAGATCAACGGTCAGAGGACTGTCCCGAGCATCTACATTGGCCAGAAGCACATTGGCGGAAACAGCGATTTGCAGGCGAGAAAATCCGAGTTGCCTACCTTGTTGAAGACAGCAGGGGCCGTTTAGAGGGTTTTGTTTCGATCCGTTGGTGGATGGTGATAGAGAGCAAATGATGGGCCCTCATTATTGTGTCCTAGCAGACCCCTGGGCCTCTATTTCTCTCATTCTATTCATGCGTGTGTTTTCTTTATTAGAACTAGACAAAAAACAAACTTTGTCGTAACCACGCTCAGCTATTAACCGTAGCTCTTGTCACCGTATAAAGAGTGAAATGTAGACATAAACGTCCTCATAAGCCTAGAATGAAGGAGCAAACTTTGCGCCGCGTTGTAGTCCGGAAGCCACACTAAGCCCCACCGGGAAGCGAAAAATAACCGATTGCACCGTGGAAATGCCTGCACCGGCCAATGTGCCGAAGCCATTGATGACATAATATCATACTGGTATCATTGTTCATTATTTTTTATTATGTATATAGCGCTGTACCCTGTACGACTTATCCCAAAGGACGATCTGATGGTCTGATATTCCATCTAATCTGATCTCCCTCGGATCCCGGCCCCCACCGCTGGCAACAACGAAGCATCCCTAACCAGCCGGGCGGAGTACGATACGAGTATCGTACTGTAGAAGGAAGATATAAGGAGAAGAGAGCGAAAACGGGATTAACAGACATTTCTCTGACTTGGTCGGAAATACGAAAGAAGCCTCCACATTGCCAAGAGTTATTGGGCCGGAGGTCAGAGACCTGCTATTGGGGGGGGTATGATATCATGGATCATTTCTAACTCTCGAGGAGCCTACGCTAGTCTATTCTGTATGATATCATACTGCTCTTGAGAGATCAAGCAGTCTATATCTGGATCATCTGATCAGGTAACTGCCCTGCACTCACAACCCAGGCTTGCGCCATCGTCATTCCCGCTTGTCGGGAGCGGGCATGCACACCCACCGTACGAGTACTAAGAACGCGACAACCCCAGAAAGGAGAAAGGAGTAATTTGCGTCCAGAACACCCGAACTAGCAAAAACCGTTACCATGGGCTAAAACTCTTTCGGCGAGCGAATTCCTACCGAGTAAAGCGCCGAGGCTCGCAGTCTCGTCTCGGGTGGGGGCTTGTTAATGGTGGGTGTTGTACCACTCAACAACACCGGAGCATATCGGGAGACTGCCGGGCTGAAATCTTGTATGGGATTCAGCCCAGTCACTCGGTGACTGAAGATAATAAATTTAGGTCAGCTTATGATAATATGTTTCTCCCACTTGTAGTACTCTACCGCCGCATCCGTAAGTTCTCATGCCACCCTTCTCCCTCGAGAAGTGTACCCATTGAAAAAGGGCGGGAGAGTGGAGAAGGGCCTTTTAGATGCCTGTTTTCGGATATCCCTCTATGTTGTATCATAAGCTCTTACCATCATTTGTTTCGCTGGATAATTGGAAAAAAGAGGGTTAGCAAAACGCTTCCGAGTGTTAGTGGCATCATACTAGGATGGGTACAAAAGCGGTTTTACCTCGTACTCGAGCACCAGAGGCTCAGCCAGCAACGACAAGGGCATGCGCCATCACTCGCATCTCGCTAGTGGTCGGATGGTAACGTACGGTACATTACCATACTTTACCATACTGTATGGTATGGTAACTTACTGTAAACTTACCAGGCACCATTAACCGACAATCATAGAAAAAGTAGCCCACTCATGTGAATAGTCTGTTTCATGATTACTCCATCAGCTCTTCAGTTTTCTGGACATTTGTTAACTTTGTAAGTTGTGTTTTAAGCAGAAAGGGAAAAATACAATAACTGTTGAGAAAGAAATATTGCAAAATTGAAGAGACTGAGTTTGCATATAGTATTCTTAAGTAGTATAAACTCAGACTCCGAATACACAAGAAGTAAAACAATGTTCAGAACAGTACACAGATATAGAATTAACTACTGGTACTATGAATAATAACATCATGAATCCAACTTGGTTCCTCCTCAGTAGCATCCTCCACCACACAGTCCTCTTCATATGCTACCAAATCCTCATTGTTAAGCCTTTTGTCTAACCATCCTCGAATCTCTGTAGGTTGGCAATCCAAGATATGCTTATTGATATGAATGAAACTTAATTTATCAGCCTGTTCAGCACCCAACCAGTGGTGCTTCTTATCATGTAAAAGATTTCATGTAGAAAATACTCGCTCCAAAGGAACTGAATTTGTAGTTGTATAAAAGGTACAAAGTGCTAAATGACAAAGGTCACGTGCAAAAATTGAAACTTCTTGCCAAAAGGATCGCACTGAGCTAGCCAATTCCCATACTGATCCAGTATGGGAAAAGCAACCCTGCTGACTTTGGAATTACCCATATTGTTGTCTTACAATTCCAGACCCATATTGTTTCAAGAAGGATATAATAACTTCATTCTCTACCAAGGTTGGAATTTGCTCACTTGCACCAGAGGCTGGATCAAGGAAGTAGGCAACAAGGTGAATTGGAAAACAGTACTTTTGGTAACATGCTGAAAAGACTGGTAATAAACGTGCTGTTAGTTCTGGTTTGAGTTGAAAGGTACCAACCTCCTGACAGGTAAATTCAATATGCTTATGAATTTTGATCCAGCATTGATGAACTCGGCCAACATGTGTATGCGTAGATTCTGACATCTTTTGATTTCTGAAATACTGTCATGAATGTGGCATGGTATAAAAGAGGTTTTCACGTGACACATGGTTATGAGTTACAGGTATGTTATTGTTTTGCACATATGACTTATTCGGATTATATGATTTGTTTTGTGTGGGATTTGTGATGCTTTTGCACATGGCTCAAATATGAGTCATGGGATGTGCGCCTGGCAAGTATGCCTTGCGAGGATGCCTGGCGGGTAAGCCTTAAGCATATGATTTATGTTTCGCACATGACCTCATTATGTGGTCATGGGTTTTGTGCACATGACTCAGTCGAGTCATATGACTTGGTTATTGCGATATGATTGGTTTATGAGTTTTTGTACATGACCTCGCTATGAGGTCATGGGTTTTGAGCATGTGATCACTTTTGTCACATGACTAGTTTGTTATGATTTGGTTTCGTACATGTGACTACTTTAGGTCACATGACTATGGGTGGGAAGAATACTATATAAGGAGGCCGATGCGGCCGAAGAAGATAGGTTCTTCATACTTTGTTCTAAGTACTTCTCCTACTTATTACTTTAACGAATATAAAACAACTTTACGATCTTTATCTTTATTGCAACGTTATTGTTACACCAAGGAGGGCTCTTCATGAAGAAGAGTTAGAGAAAACTTACGATAGACGTTTCTGATAGAAGACAAAGGTCTTGTACTATCGGTAACATTGGCAGAGGCCTAGCGCTATCGTAAGACAAAGGAAGAAGAAGAAAGAGAAGAGGACTATCATTCCCCGTCGCCAAGAAATAACCATTCAAGGAGGGATCGTTACATTACAAAGCGTCACCTAGTGCGACGCTAAATGATACAAGACAGCATCGTTCAATCCAGACCGGAAAGGAGATATCGACATCGACGATCAAAACCTTAACCTGGGAGGATTCAGCGACGCCCTAGATCATGTCTCAGCAGAACCCTCGAGAGTAGCAAGCCCAGTAACCCCAGAGAAATGATCACCAGTTGATAGCTCTCCTGCAGGAACTCCATGACCTGAGAGACTATCGGGATCAGCAGTACCTGGGCCACTGGCCCCAGCTGCTCCGGCACCAGGAACTAGCATACTTGGAATGACTGAAAATCAGTTTCAGGCATTTCTTGCAGGAACATGAAATACAGGACAGGGAAACGTCCAAAGACAGAAAGCAAAGGAACCTGACACATACGAAGGAGCTGAAGACAAACTACGAATATTCCTAGCACAGGGTGAAGGATATTTTGCCGTCAAGGGATATGGAGATCACCATGACGAAATCAAGATTCCATACATGGAATCTCTACTCAGAGGACTCACGGGACAATGGATCATGCTTTTCCAAGATGAAAGAAAGCAGAGGGAATGGGTCACATACGAAGAGTTCAAGGCGACACTCTTCGAACAATTCAGAGATCCTAATGCCAAAGAAACAGCAAGATGAAAGCTGAAAAAACTCCAACAAGGAAAACAAACATTCCCAGCATACTAGAATGAATGCCGACTATTGGAATAAGAGGCCGAGTTTGATGATGCTACTCTCTACATCATCCTCCTGAGAAACGGCAGTGAGAGACTCCGAGAGGCATGGGGAATCTCTGACCTATGCTATACAACAGCAGAACAATTTGCAAGATGGGCGATCGATAAGGAAAGCAAACTAAACATGTTTTGAAGCAACTCGGAAAACACTATAGCATACAGGGTGGTCCAATCATCCAGAAATGTGGACGGAACCTTCAAACCGCAAGCAGCTCGAGGAGAAAGTCGAGCATTACCATTAGGCGAGCCAATGGAGTTAGACAAATCAAGAGCAGGACCTGCTCTAAATCTGTCTAAGGAAGAATACGCCAGAAGAATAAACGGGAAACTCTGCCTAAGGTGTGGAAAAGCAGGACATAGGATACAAGAATGCAGAAGCCGACACGACAGTGGATACCAAGGGACCAGAGCTGCTGGGAATAATCGTTTCCAAAATCAAAAAAGGAGCAACATTTGCGAAATGATCGCAGAAGATTCACCGGTGGAAAATGACAAGGGTCTCCAGTAAATGGTGGTCTGGGAGATCCAAGATGTGGACCTGGAAAACCCATCAAGGTAGCAAACTACTACACGGTACTACACATGCAAAGAGGAGAAGAAGGTGGAGACTCTGTGATGATCAAAACGAAGATATACAATGAAGAAAACGAAGAAACAACAATATATGCAATGCTCGACTCTGGAGCTACCGCAGACTTCATCGACAAAGAAATCTGCGACAAATACAGCCTCCACACCAAACAAGCAAAGAAAGTAAGACAAGTCTACCTAGCGGATGGAAAGCCAAGCGCTATGGGTCCTATAACCCATACAGCGACAGTACCTATAGACATTGACAGCCATAGGGAAATGGCAACCTTTCAGGTAGCAGATCTGAAAAACCATGAGATAGTCCTAGGGATGCCATAGTTACGAAAGCATAATCCGACGATTGATTGGAACGAGAACAAGACGACCTTTACAAGCGAACTATGTGCGACACGATGTCTCAACAGTTCACCTGTGGTTTACTTGACACCAATACGAGAAG